AGGTTAGTTATTTTGCAATTTTTTTTTCTCTTCATAGTTCATGATAAATCTGATTTTCGATTTTTACAAAAAAAGGTAAATAAATTGGATTTTCATCCCTAGCGAATTTTTTGACATCAATTTTTTGAATGTCTGCAACATTTGAATTTTATTTGAATTTTATTTCTTCATCCTAGCTAAGGCTTCTTCTTTTGGTAACCCCGCCTTTAGAATTTTTGTCTTATTTTCTTCTTCATCCTATTGACTGACTATGTGGTAATTAGTTTGCATCTTTTTCCATCATGGCTTATAGATAATTTCATTTTGTTAAATTATATGTTTCATTAATTTATACCAAAGATTTCAAATTTTGTGTATAACAATTATTTACTTTTAGATGTTATTGGACATGTTATTGAAATGTGTGATTTGAGAGAACCAAGCAAAAATGGACGGAGCCACAAGCTATTGGAAGTGGGCCTTCAAGACTTATTGTTTGTATGCAATATTTAATTTATTGTTTATATTTACTTTTATTTCTTAATTTTCCAATTGTTAATATCCAGTGGCAAAACATGACCAAAACGAGGTAGTGGAGAAGGGCTTAGTTACGATGCAAGATGTATAGATGACCTTTTACGTTGGTATTAGGGGTGAACATATACCCGCTCGACCCGCCCGACCCGCTCAACCCGAGCCGACCCGCCCAAAACCCGCATGTTTTCAAATTTATAATTTGTACAGCAGTTTGAAAAGTGTGAAACCCGCACAGTACGGGTCGGTTGGCGGGTTAGGTTACTGAAACCCGCTTCAAACCCGACCCGCACCCATACCCACAATTTAAGTATAAATATGATAATTCATCTTTTTCTTTCCCATCTCCACTATGCGCCGTCAACCCTATTCCCAAAACCCAACTTTACTATTCTGATTCTTCTCATTTTATACAATCCACAATCGCTGCTAGATTCACCACCATCGGCAACGCAGCTGGATTCTTCCATCGACGACACCGCTCGATTCTTCCACCGGCAGCAGATCTAAATTTTCATTTGAGGAATAAAAAGATTTTCATTTTCATGGCAGGTGTTATAAACTCAAACACTTTAGATTGTGGAATCATTTCGGTCTTATTTCCACTGTATTAAGTATTAACACCATAACTTTAAAAGCCTTATTTTTAGTCTTTTTTTTTCCTATTTATTCACGAGTTCAGATGGACTCTCTTTTTATATATCTGTATTGCTTGTCTGTTTTGAAAATTTTAGTTGTATAAGAATTAGCTTATTTCTACTCAACTGATGTTGGATGTACATTATTTAGAATTAAAAAAAATTGTAATCCATTTTCTCCTCACCCGCCCGCAACCCGCCTGCCAACTGCCCTACCCGACGAACCCGACCTGTGCGGTTTTCAAGAATAACTAGGCGGGTGCGGTTTGTGGTTTTATAACCCGCCTGTTTCGGGTCGGGTTATTTTTTTTCCCAAACCCGCCCAAACCCGCCCGTGTTCACCCCTAGTTGGTATGTTGTCGATAGTTTAGTTTGGATTATGTTAACTAAGTTATTAAATCTAATTACTTTTAAGCTCAACATGAAAGACATAGTTGATGATTTTGTTCTTGGTTCAATTTTTCAATTTACCGGTATTAGTTGATTCAATTCATTTGCAAAATTATTCAACAGTAAAGTTATTTTTTTTTATTTTTTTTTCGTGTGTGTAATATAATTAGTAATGTTCCACTGATGAAGTATTCATGAATGACTATAACAGAATTTTAATCATACGATACATCAAACGTTTGTTTATGTTCTTACAACATCAAAAAAATGCAATTTGTTGTCATGTGCATCGCACGGGTATAATTACTAGTTTTATATATGAAAGGAAGATATTTTGACTATAACCCTAGACCTAAACCTAGGGCCAAATTTGTCAATTACTATTTCAGCAGTTTTTTTATTTTTGAAAATTATTTCAGCAATTTTTTTTATTTTTGAAAATTATTTCAGCAGTTTTTTTTTCCCCATTTGATTCGATCAATTATTTTGTAATTTTTTTTCCGTCCAATATCTTTATTTTCTTATTTTCTTGATTTTTTTTATTAGGTACACGATAATTTCTTATTTCCCTGCATATTGGTTAGACGTTCTGCCACCATCCGAGAAAAAAACACAGCACTCACAAAAACCGCTACAGAACTGAACAATAAATTTGGATGAAGAGCTACAAACGAGCAGAAGTATGCAAAACTATATTACTTTTAGCGCAAGTAGGAAGTCAGTTTTTATTTTCAGCGAGCTTTCTACGAAGCCTGCAAATTTCTTTTGTTCGTTTCAAAAAAATCATATGCTATATGTTGTTTTACTTCTACCAGTTTTTTATTGTGTTTCATCATGTTTCTATTGAATTTATTTATACAACCTGTTGCCATGTTTCGCAGGATTATATAACAAACATAGGTATTTCTTACTACCTTTATTGCTGTGTATTATGATGTGTGTGTGAGTTCATATAATATACAACTCTGTTTGTTGATCTTTTTATTGCTGTGTAGATGCGATTTTTATTGATATTTCATTCAATACTGCAATATAGGAACTTTGATCTTCATATAGTTTATTTCTTCTCTAATTTATTGAGATTGCAGTTGCAGGTTTTGCACTTCCTTCGAAAGTAAAGAGCTAAGAAGCCTGTCTTATTTGTCCCGATAGACTCCCAAAATTAATCTTGATATGCTTCAAGATGTGTTCAAGAATTGAACCTTTTTTTTTAACACCTATCGATTCAGAAAGTAGAAGAAAAAAAAATTGGACAAGAATGGCGCTGCCCATTAAAGAACCCTGATGTAAGAGACAAGCTTGCCATATTCAAAATAAATTTCTTGGGCAAAAAAAACATTTTTTTTTCTGCAAAAAATTGCCATGCCTCCCCAAGAACAATCTTATGCAAAAGAGAAAATATGGTATGATGATTTCTTTTCTTTTCTTTTTATTTTTTATTTTTTATTTTTTATTTTTTATTTTTGATCGGGAACATAATTTTATGAAATCTTTCAGGCAAATTTTTGTTATTTGTTTCTTTTTGTCGTTCCCTTTTGACATTGGTTCTGGACAAACTATATATGTAATATGTTTATTCGTATAAATTATCAATTATCTTCAAGTTCATATTTTGTTAGATTTTAGAACTTTATTTTCGTCCACTATGTACATAACCGCCCATATCTTTCTAACAACAGAACTTCTCCTTAATTCCATCTGTTGTGATCCGATTTGCATTTTCATAATTTTAGTATATTTGAATTTAGAAGCTCTTCTGCAGAGTTTTAGTACTAGTCCAACGAGACAACCTCCGTCTAAAAGTATTATTGGGGAATGTTTGAAGTTATTGCTATTTTATTTTGGTATTACTATAACAGATCATTTCCGTACACCTCGGCCATTAACTCATTATTATTCTCGGCACAGATTTAGAGTTTACGAGTTTTTGCTCTATGTTTTTTCTGTAATATCTGATATATACATAGTAATTGAAAAATATTCTTTTAAGAAACTCACAACAAATGTATTAATATTGCTTTTCTTTGAGTTTTATAGTTTCTCCAGTTGTGGAGACGTTTTATGAATCTATCTTGACGATTCTGGATGACAAAACGAGATCATGGTTTATTTAGGTCCTGCTGTTTTCCTTCTCTTTGAACTTGGCGAGACATGGCTTGGTCCATCCTTATCGGGTCATCTTTAAGGCTAGCAACCTCCTGGCCAAACCAGCCTCCATCAATTTTTCATATTTGTAGGTAAATGTTGAAGATATCAACCATAAATTTTGTCGCAGTGTTCTGTAAATTAGAGTTATGAAAATTTGTTGTTTTCGTGGGTGAAGAATAGTGAGGATAATGCATTGTGCTAAAATTTAGATATAATATTTTGTTTGGTTGATGAGTGAGTATTAAAAAACAAACTAAGTTACTCTTTCTTCTTCTTCTTCTTCTTTTTTTTTTTTTTTTTTTTTTTTTCATTTTCTCTCACTAATACGCATATCTCTAAAAAAAATGAATTCTAAAGTCTGAAAAATATTCACCTCACAAATATTACGGAGTTTCATTAACAATCTCTTACGGCATCTTATTTATGGCATTTAAGCTGTTGTTATCATAGATGTTTCTTAAAACACAATATATCTCATGACTGATAAATGCCGTTGCAGTCGCTTCGTCATCGCTACATGATTGATAAATGCACAAATCTCGAATCCGGTCTAAAGAAAATTAACATAATTTTCTACTAGACTGTCCAATAAATTGAATTTTATTTTGTATTAATTTTGTTTTCAATCGTATAGGTCAAGTTACTGGTAAAATTATATTTGAAGAGTGCATAGCAAATTGGACTAAAAAAAATACTACTCCCTCCTTCCCTTAATAATTGTCACTTTTGCCATTTTTTTATGTTTCAAATTATTTGTCATTTTACTATTTCCAATGAATTATTCATTGTAATTTTTCAATTTTGCCCTTCTCACTCATAATTAATTAAAATATAGTTAGTTAAAAATCAATTAATGGCATAGGCATATTAGTGATTTACTATACTTTTTGTTAATATCTATGCCTATTTATTGATTTTCTTAATATGTGTGCAACTAACAAAAGTGACAACTATTAAGGGAAGGAGGGAGTAATATCTTAACGTAGATTCAAATATTGGTCAAAGGAAATTTATGACAGAACCCAGAATAAAAAAAAAAAAGAAAAAAAAGAAATGGCTGTTGAAAAGACAGCTTAAAATTAACATATTGTACCCCGTGCAGAATAAGTTGTACATTTGGTTCAATTTTTGAAAAAGGGAATAGAAAGCAGCTTCATCACTCCCCACTGGATCCATTCATAACCGGTGGCAATTAATTCTTCTTTTCTCCTCTCCCAAAAAACCCAAATCCAGAAAAATAAGTACCTATTATAGCCGGACACAGCAAAACACCCGCTTCTCACACTCCCCCACTATATATATATATATATATATATATATATATTCACACCGCCGCTCATTTTTTGTTTCTACGATTCAATTATTCTTAGTTAGTTGAATCCGATTCCAATTTCATTTCAATCTGTTTCAAATTTTTTTTTCTTCTTCTTCTTCTTCTTCTTCCAAGTTCGGATGCTGGAAATTGTTGCTTTCAGAGTTGGTGGATTCAAATGTGAGCTGAGTTTCTGGTGCTAGGATCTGCTGGCGCGGTAAAATTCCTCGATCCCAGCTTGTGTGCTCTGCGTGGGTGCTTTGGATTTGGAAGTTGTTGTTACCTATTTTTCTCATTTCAATTTTGGTTAGTGGATTTGTGTTGATATGGTACTGAATTTGAGTGATCGGAGCATTTTTTTTGAATACGAGTTAGTTAAATATCCTTGTTTTGAGTATGAGCTAGTGTTATGAAGATCTGGGAACTCGATTTCGTCTCGTGCCTTCAATTCGTAGTGGTTCGTTGTTGGAAATTGTGTTTTTTTTTTTCCTTTCAAATTTTCGATGGCTGCGCTAAAATTATAATTGTTAAGGGAGGAATTCAATGGCGAGCAATGGAGTTACTTGCGTGAAATTTGTGTTTGTTAGTTGCATATGTGCTGTTGTTGTTTGTCCTGAACTTCAATTTTGAGAGGGGATTTTCATGGAACGTCACCTTTTCTATATTCGGTGACTATCTTAAGTATTAATGTGAGGCGAAGCTGATAGCAGAATGTGCTTCAGTATACTTCAAATGTTAATTGAACCTTTGAGAGACCAATTGTTTATGAGATTAGAGTGGATGATATGATATCCGCACTGAATGTATACCCCTTATTATTGGGCATAACAAGTTTATTGCTGATTGTTAACTGTAAAGTCCAATTTCTTATTTTTCTCTGGAAATGACCATACAGAATGGCCTCAGTAAGTCTTGCAAAACATTCTACATTAATGGTCAACAATCCAATTTCTCTTTTCATTTTGAGATAACCATACATGGACTTGTCTCGATCAGTCTGTCAAAATATTCTACATTCTTGGTTAATAGTACTCATGTTTAAATTGACCACTGTGCTAATGTATCTGCCAGGGAACGTCTATTACTAGATTATTGAAGTGGTAATCTGTTTGTTTTCCACTTTTGTCTCATTTTGAAATTTTCCGATGTACAATTAGTTGTGACTGGTTATTCCCTTTGTCTTTTACATTTTGTCCCTTCCTTTCATATTTTTCTTGTTTATCTGTCCATTTCATTTGAGTAATTGTTAAACTTATGATATTCAAGTATCTTTCATTCTTCTGTATTTGCTTCCCCTCTTACTCTGATCACCTTAAACCATTCTTTCCATTTTTACTGATCACCTTGAGTTAAAAGTGATGCGCTATTTATCATAGTGAAGGGAACTTTGAATTTGAATTTAACTCTCTGATGATTTTATTTTTCAGGTCATATGGCCTCCAGCGCAAAGAAGCTGGTAAGGGTGTTGATACATCAATGAGTTCGTCCCTTCACTGAAACAGTGCAACTAATAAGTAGTTCTATGGGATAGAAGTGGTATAGAGATGGTATTGTATTTGAAGAATTATGAACATGGAGGATAAGCGAGATGATATTGGACCTTCAGAGCAGAGGTCTCCTAGTACTACATGGTGGCCATCAGATTTTTCGGAAAATTTTGGATCTATATCCTTGAACTCCAACGATGAAAATATGAGGAATAAAGAGTTATCCGACAAAGTAAAATATGATCGATTATCATATAAAAGAGCATCACAAATCCTATGGAGCACAGGAATGCTTTCTGAACCAATTCCAAATGGTTTTTACTCTGTCGTTCCTGTGAGTTCTAAGACGAATCTCATAAGCCGCATGTCATTTTATGCCTGCTTTCAGTTTTGTCATTCTACGATCTTTTGCTTAAATTAGAAGATGAACTTCTAATTAGTTTGAACAGCTAGTTTAAAATAGCCTGCTTAATAAAGGTAAAACTAATACTGCATGCAAAAAATGCTTCTTCTCATCCTAGTAGGTTGGTTGGTTTAGAAGAATTTTCAACTAATAACATGGAAAGACTATTGTAGTTTAAACCCCAAAAGACTTTCATAAGGGTAGAATCTCGAGAAGTCCATTTCTGGTGATTACTGTTGGCACTCTTCCTTGTTCAAACCTTAGAATGTCATGTCCCCATTTTGTTAACATGTAGGAAATTAGTTGGGGCCATGAGTTTTGGTTTTTTCTTTTGATGATGAAGATTGGGTCTAAAATCAAGGATATGCTCTTCACATCATATTCTACAAAAACATTAGCAATGGAATTGGCGCAGTATGCCGTGCTGTTGTATTTGTACGTAATCAACAGAAGTTGGCGAATTATTGGTTAAAGATCAATTAATGTGCACATCCTAGCATATGGATGCTTTTATTTCACCATCCTATAACTGAAATAGTTCAAGTTTATTTTAGCACACTCTGAATCAAAGCATTAGACAATGTCCTTTCAATTCTTCACTGATTTTGATTTCATGAATATTCTTGAAATATTTTGTCTTATATGGGGCTTCTTATGGGACCCGTCTCCATCTGACTTCGTGAATATGGTTTAAAAAATAATCAAAAAGGATTATTAAGTTTCTAGCAGTTGCTACCTATTACCTTCAACCTTCAGTCATTCCTTAAAAAGAACAGAACAGTTTGTTATTGGTCTCTCCCAATTAGAATTTCTTGGAAGTAAACAAAGATGACCCAGAATTACTTTGTTAGCTTGGGAAGCCAGAGTAACAATCTCTAACTAAAGGAGATGGTCGCCTGCCAGTCCTTTCTCGTTTCCTGGTAGTTGTCAGTGTGCTGTTCTAATCTTCATTTTTATGTTTTCAAGTTTTAACTTTTCAAAACCTGGTGATTATTTCCTCATTATAGAATAGCTTATTTTTAATTCTTTTAAAAATACACCAGCACCATTGGCCATTTCGACATTTTTTTGGACAATATCCCCTAGTCAGAAAACGAAATCTATTTCAAATAACATTTCTTCCATCCTTTGCTAGTCTGTCAGTGATTCACATTTTCTGTGTTCAATTTGCATATCAACTATTGATAAAACCTTGTAAACTAGAAAGAGAGGGATTTCTAGTATCCTACCTCTCATATACTATTGTTATGGAAGTCCTCAACGTTAAATTAATGGATTTTAAGATTTATTAAGGTTCTTAGAAATTAGAGGGTGAAAATTAGTGAAGAATATTGACTTCCGTGTTAAAGTTATAAACCCCCATCATCTTGGATTATCTTTTAGGTGCGTAAGTTATCAACATGCAATTTTAATTTAGTTTAATTTTTTTATATCATTGATGTAGAGAAACATTTATGAAGATGAGCTTTATAATGTTTACGTATTTCACATAGAGATTGCAGTCACTGGATTGTTTATTTTAAGTTCAACTGACGAATGATATTTATGAAGGTTCCAATTGGATTTCTAGTATTTAATGGAGTTCTTTATGGTATGAAACTTTGTGATATGATATAATACCTAAATTCACAGTCAGTGAGGAACACAATAAGTCCTATCTCCATGAGTCAAATTTCTATTGGATATGTTTAAAGAGCCAGATAAATAGTTCTTGTGGTTGTTTCCATCTTAATAGAACTATAATAAGGGATTTTCGTTGTTATTGATATTACATTTCAAAATTCATCTTCATTTCACAGCAACTAGTCAAGACAGGTTTAGTTTTCACATGCTTCCCTCTGTCATTCTACGTTTAACTTTGGAAACCCAAATCTTTTGAAAAGAATACGAGATCAAATTCGAAACCGAGCGCAGTTGCAGTTTTTTCTAACTTTGTATGTTCCCAGTGGGACTTGTTGTTCTGAAGACATTGATCCTATTCCTGAATGTTATGCTATATGACCAAGGATTTGTACTCCTAAATATGAAAATCTCCGAATCTTAATCTTGAGCAGCAAAATATTGATCTTAATCTTAATCTCGCTCACACCGCTTTTTTCGTGTTACACATTTGAAGTATGTAACCGGAACATGAAATGGAAATTCTATTGATTGTGGAGTGGTATCATCAATAATCTTTTAGAATTGGAGTTGAAAAACAGGCTTCTCAATTGTCCTTAACAGAGTGCAAGATATTTATTTGTTCTAAAAGGCTGATGTTAAACTGTATTTTACTTGAAGTATCTTTCATTTTCATCGCTTGAGCCGAGAAAGACCTTAAGTCCTGCCATGAGTGTTGTTGTTTCCAGAAATTACCTGCCCCACTCCTTAAGAAAGCCAGATACTTGGACATTTTTGAGTTATATATCCATTCCTGATTATTTCATAGCCTGTTTTGTTTAAGGGTTTATTATGTTTTAAGTAGCAATATTTTAACAGTATTTTCCCTGGTAGGATAAAAAAGTCAAGGAAATGTATGAAGATGTACCAGCTCTGGAGGAGCTTCATGCTTTGGAGCTTGAGGGTTTGAGAGCTGATGTTATTCTAGTAGATGTGGAGAAAGATAGGAAGCTTTCTATGCTGAAGCAGTTAATTGCAGCTCTGGTTAAGGGTTTGAACACAAATACCCCCGCTGTGATAAAAAAGATTGCTGGACTGGTGAGTATAATTTGGTTAAAAAAAAAAAAAAAAAAAAAAAAAAACTCATGTGCACTTCTGATACAGATTTGACAAAATATGTTTTGCTTTGGAGTTTGACATGTTGTTTTATTTAGTTTACCTATTACCACAAGAGACAGTAGCAGTATTATCTCTTATATGTTTAGATTTGACTAATATCATCACAGTCGTATGTTCTCCCTCCTGTGGCTCTTGAAAAGATGAGGCAGGAAATATAGCTACTTTGAATCATCTTTTGTCTGCTTTCTTGTTATATTATTTCTTAAGGCTTGCCCACCCGGAGTTCATATTGATTTAGGGCTTGAAGTGTGTTCATCGGGTGGCATTTTTTTCTTTTTTTTTTTTTTTAAGTGTTTTCTTTTTAAATGATGGATTGAAGTAGTGCATATTCACCTGTTTCTTTATTTAATTATTCAGTTGATTTTTCTGTTCCCTAATCATGTTTATGCTCATTTGGTCTTTGCATATAACCGCAATGTGGAATTTCTGACCTTCGAATAGGTATCTGATTTTTACAAGCGGCCAAACTCGGAACTAAGTCCCAGAAAAGCTGCTCAGGAGGATACCCCACATATATCTGAAAATCGAGGAGTGCAGATGCTGGGGCAAATAAAGCAGGGTTCGTGCAGACCTCGAGCAATATTGTTTAAAGTTCTTGCAGATACTGTAGGACTTGAAAGTTGTCTAGTGGTGGTAAGACTTTTTAAAGTGATATTACATATGTTATTCATTTTTAAGACTCTGTCCTTGCCTTACATTTAACTCGGAATTAGCTTTGATAGTTTAGAAAGTTATTTTGAACTTGTCCACTCAGCTGAATATTATCTTGTGAACATTTGGATTTGTTTTATTAGGGTTTACCTACTGAAAGAGATTCTGAGTGTGTGGACTCGCACAAACATATGTCTGTAGTAGTCGTGTTGAATTCTGTGGAATTTCTGGTCGATTTAATGCGATTTCCTGGCCAATTAATCCCTCGATCAACCAAGGCTATCTTTATGACTCACATATCTGCTGCCGGGGAGAGTGATTCTGCTGAAAATGATTCATGTGATTCACCAATGGAACCAAATAGCCCTCTTTATGGGGTTTCTGAACGAGTTGATCCTGAGAGGTTAGCAGCTAAGCCTCTTCTGACTTGCAAACCAAATTTCTATTGGACCATTCTTAGCATTAAATAAAGCTTCGTAGAAACTAATACGATCTTTGATGAGGCCATTCATCTTTCTAGAAGAAAAAAGATTGCTGTTTGATTGGTACATTCTTTGTATATTTCCGAACTTAGTTATTTTAAGTCTCTGCAGAGCTGAGAAAGAAGATGGCCTGCTATATCAGCGGAGACTAGAAGCTTCTTCAAATGCAGCAGGGCCTTCATTAAGGAATATGATGTTGCGGTCAAATTCTGTTGATACAAAACTGAGGTACTATTACTTCTCAATGCGGCAAAGCCTTTTTATAACTTGACACAATCATTCTTAATTCCCCATATATAAATTATGTTTCATGATTCATGATATTGTCTTTATTGTATTTCATGGTTTTGTTTCAGCTTATCGCACAGTGAACCTAATATAGCTGCTACATTTTGGCGAAGGAGCAGGAGGAAAGTCATTGCCGAACAAAGGACTGCAAGTTCAAGGTTTAACAAAATGTTGCTTATTGGATCAGACTATATATGTACATGTATACATTAGACAGATACCGTGTTGATTGTGGAGTGTGGACCTTTGCTTTCTAGAAACATTTTGCTTACAAATACAAATAACATGCTCCCACGCGTTGACTTTAACAGTGTAGTTGAATGATTTTTACATCAGCATCTGCATTTTTATGAGGATCTGACAGTCAATTATTCTTTCTCCTGAAAAGATGCTTTGTTGCTTAGTATGATGAACTGACAGTCAATTAGTTAAAAACTATTGGTGACTGACTGACTGGAGGTTGGAAACACTAAAATAGTAAATACTCTTTGAGCATATTAACACCATATATAACATAGTTGATGTTGTATCTCTCCTCTTTTTTTTGCTTTACATAGTTCATTTCACTGATGATTTCCCATACTACTTAATAGAATAACAATGGAAAAATAGTTCATTTCACTGATGATTTCCCATACTACTTAATAGAATAACAATGGATAAAATAGATAATACTCTGGCTCCTGGTCTATCTGAAGTATATGGAAGCAGTTTTCTTTCTTTATTGGTCATGGTGCGATACCATTCATGAATATTAATTTTTATGTTTTGTGGACTAGAGCATCGTTTTCTGGCTGAAATTTGTTTTGCACTTCTAAAATGTTTGAAGTTTTCCAGCCCAGAGCACCCTTCACTTCGAGCACATGCTCGATCTATGCTTAGTGGAGATAACAAACCATTCAAGGATTATCCTGACGCCATTGCTACATCAAGGTAGCTTTTGTTGGTTTTATTAATTTACCTTTTGCACATCTTTTAGTGTATTTTGTTCATTTCTGCAAACTCAGAATTAGTTTGATCAGCAAAATCTGGTTTTTGATCTGGAAAATCGCCTCATCTCTATTTTTTTGCTTCTGATACTTTATATTGGATTGCCTTAGCTTCATAAAATTCTCCTTCGTGAATTTATGAAGAGAAAACAAATTATTTGCGTAGAGAATTGTACAATAATTACATAAGTATGTGTCAAAGTGTCTTGCTCAAATGTTATTTGAAACTGATTGGTATAACGTACATAAACTCTGAATTTGCAGATTAGCTTATTCTGTAAGTAGGGATTTACTGAGTTTGAGTTTTCCAAATAAAATGTTTCTGCAGGTCAGAAGGTGCATCAACATCAGATGCACGTAGAATAAGAAGAAGAAGCATTAGCATGACTCCGGAAATTGGTGATGACATCGTTAGGTAAGTACTATCTTCCACATCATTAAAACACTATTAATTATTTAAACATGAATTGGTCATCTGATTTTTGACAAGCTCCTCCAGCATAATATTTTCTGAGTAAAATTACGCTTGGTATTTGGCCACTGTGATATCTCTGATTCACATATTTTCGTAAAAAGTGGATAAACTGTTGAAATGTTCACCCAATTCCTTTTTCGATTTTTTTGGTATGAACTGCTTAGTAATCTAGTAAATGTTTAGGAGGCCTTCTATACTATGTCATTCACCGCTTTTCCCATGGCTGCCATCATATTGTATTGTCTCTGTCATAGAAACTACTCGCTTATCCTTTATCGTATATGTTTGACTTTAAACAGTGTGCAGCTACTTTGGGTAGCTCCTCCACCTCCCTTGACCTGCTCAACTTAGTCTTTGAGAGAGCTGAATTTCTTCGCCCTGCACACGTAAACACATACAACAATAGATCTCACTTTAAACAATGTCAAACTGAAAGATAGGAAGACAGTTGGTCAATTAAATGAGTTCAGAAACAACAAGGAGTTAGGTAGGGTACACCATTAAAAGAGTGTAAATTTTCTGAATTTTTTTAAATTACCTAAAAATGAATGGCTCAGTTAGTTTTCGACCGTAAAAAAATTATCTATGCCTCAAACTTGTGGTCTATTGCTGAATGCTGATATCTACTTATAGTTATTGTCTCATGGTCTTAGAACTGAATGTGGAGTATTTTCCAAAACAATGTTATCATATCGCATATCGTCTTCCTCTCGTATTGTATTGTATCGTGAATTGTAAGATACATGACAAAATCTGATGAATGGCCCAAAATATAGAAACATTTCAGACGTGTACAAGTTAACATTTTAAAATAAATCTAAAAGCAATATTCTAGTTATAGAGTCAGGGATAAACTATAATGTTTGATTAAATAACATCAAAGTTCAGTTCCAGATCACTAATTCTTGAAAAAGAATCTACCACATTATCTTCAAGATCATTATCACTCATAATCACAAAATCCACCCCTAGTTGCATCTGAATTGTGTCAAAATCATACCAAAAAGCTTGATAAGACCTGAATCGCGAAAAATAGCGAGACACAAACACACCAAAGTCGGCCTGAATCAATGTACAGCAATTCTATGTCAAAATCACAAACAAATCATATCAAATTGAGATTGAATTACCCCTTAATTGATATAATCTCGTATGAAGAAAATTGCTATTTAGTAAGTAAGATTTTTGAGTATTTTTGGGATTTGTTTCTGAAGAAATTGAAGAATAAAAAACTCGGATTTTATTTAGGATATGAACAATTGGGGAAATAGCGAATACAAATTTAGAAATTTTGTATCGTGCATATTACGATACGCACGATACGGTACAATAGGCTGTCCGAGTCGTACGATTCACTATCATATTGTATTGTATCGTAGGATATGTATCCGTATTGTATGATACTAATGATGCTGTTCCAGAAGCAAATACGATGTAGTTGCATCACATGTTTACTTCGAAATTGTTTACATGGAATGGTTAAGGTTACTTAATTCTTTCCATAATGTTACTTAGTTTGTTCTATGTTTGTAAGGGCTGTGCGAGCAATGAACGAGTCCCTGAAGCAGAATCGTCTTCCAAGGGAACAAGGTGAAAGCAGCTCATATTCCTCTGGTTCAAAGGACCAATATAGTGCAGGTCAACTGAAAGATGTATGTTTCCTTTTACTTGTATCATATTGGTGCTTTTTGTGTCCTTCTCTCGCTGCATTAATTTGCCACATAGTTATAATTTTTTTTCTTCCTGCCAAGGTGTGCTTTAAGGATATTGTCTTGCTTTCATGAACCCATTGTGGTATCCTTCTGCTCTGTATTTCTTTCTCATTTCTTACAACATAACTGTGTCTGTCTTATATTGGATGGATATGCTTCTGCAATTCCCTTGGGTTGAACTTATATAAGTCAATCATCACGAAAATTGTTGTTCTTAGCTACATGCTGTTTCGCCATGCCTTTCTCTCTATGTTTTAATTTTTAGAACTTTACTCCGATAAGCAGTGAAACACTTTACATACAGTTCTGTAATGATTACTGGGGCAAGAGAAATAAAAATTGAACATAACATTAACATTTTCATTTAGTTGTTGTATCTTGTGTACGTCCCACAAGTTTGTTTTTGGTCCATCTGGTATGCAAACATTAACTTATTTTAAAGTTTCTGGTTAGCCTATAAGTAGCAATGACCTTGTACTGTACTCAGGTCACAGATATTCAACTCGACGAACATGAGAAACTGTCTGGTGGAACGCCAGCCTTATCCAGACAGCACAGCTCCCAAAAGGCAATGTCATTGCCGTCATCTCCACATGAGCTCCAGAGTCAGACTCAAGAAAGAAGTGGAATTCCCAGTTTAAATGAAGAAATGGTTTCAACATGGTACAGAGTTCTTGAGTTACCTATCTTCCAACAAAAGCCTCCGCTACCATTTGAAGAGTGGAATATTGATTTCTCAGAGTTAACTGTAGGCACTCGTGTTGGGATTGGTAAGAACTGTCCCTACTCCCTTCTCTTACTATTGATACTGATAAAAGCCCAAGACTTAAAAAGTAACAAAAAAGCAGGTGAAATGGCCAGGTGGAGCCATTTACTTATCTTCTGAAAACTGAAATGTTATTAGACAATCTACAAGTTTTATATCCAATAAGCAACTCATGTTTTATGTTTCTGTTCTTGAGTTATGGATTTCCTCTTGAATGTGGTGAAAGAATATGACTATGAGTGTTCGTTGTGCCATGAATCTGAAAGCTATCTTCATATATCATTTTTACTTATAGCTTACACTTGATTTTCTACAGATGTGTAATGTTATTCATTTATAATGATATATTTTCAGGATTCTTTGGGGAAGTTTTTCGCGGCCTTTGGAATGGAACTGAAGTTGCTATCAAAGTGTTTCTCGAGCAAGATCTCACTGCTGAAAACATGGAGGACTTCTGCAATGAAATAGCTATCTTAAGGTGTGTTACTTCGTTTCTATTTGGCCATTTGATTTTCTTCTGGTATGTAGTTCTAACTTCTACATTTTTCTTTGGTTCTTTATTTCTCCAGTCGCCTTCGTCACCCAAATGGTACTTTTTTCTTAACCTGCTTTATTTTGTACTATGTACTTATGTTTACCAATTTGATTTTGGTATGCACTATGCATTTTAGTCAAGACTTGTGAGAAAATGCGTTGGAAAACGAAACTGAAGCTCATACACTTAAAAAATAACTGATGTGTAATAGTCAGTATTGGTATCAGTCATATCCAGTGCTTCATGTTTAATGTAAGAGTGAGGATGCAATTCAGAATCAAATAAAAGTTTCAGTTATTTCTAGTAAACTTTGTTAGCAAGGACCAACTTCTGAATCACTTTTTAACGTGATTATGTTATGGCAAACGTTGGGTGATTAATTCGTGTAATTTTCCTCTAGTTATATTATTTCTTGGTGCTTGCACAAAACCTCCACGGCTGTCGATGATAACTGAATACATGGAAATGGGATCACTGTATTATTTGATTCATCTAAGTGGTCAGAAGAAGAAATTGAGCTGGCGGAGAAAAATCAAGATGATACGTGACATATGCAGGTTTGTTATGATTTCTTTTGTTCATCGAATGTTTCTTTGTACAAGGATTGTTTCCCCTCAATCAAAATGTAGTTACTACTTGGTTTTTGAACTTCATTTCTTTCTCCTACTGCTGCCAATTAAGGGGATTGATGTGCATACATCGCATGAAGATTATTCATCGTGATCTGAAAAGTGCAAATTGCCTTGTGAACAAGCACTGGACAGTTAAAATCTGTGATTTTGGGCTATCAAGAATAATGACTCATTCACCAATGAAGGACTCGTTTTCTGCTGGAACACCTGAATGGATGGCTCCGGAGCTTATTCGTAATGAACCCTTCACAGAGAAATGTGACATTTTCAGTCTTGGTGTTATTATGTGGGAGCTATGTACTCTAAACAGACCGTGGGACAGAATACCACCTGAACGTGTATGCTACAATACTCGTTTCTTTCTTTTTTTTTTTTTCTCTTACCCATCTATTTGTCATTTATTAGTTGTAGATTTTCACCACACTTTGCTGGTAAATTTTCATTACTGAAGAAATTCATTTCATCTTATTGTCTTGCATTGGTTAGGTTGTGTATGCTGTTGCAAACGAGGGATCACGGCTAGAGATACCTGAAGGGCCACTGGGCAGGTTGATTACAGGTATTTTACTTAAATTGAGTTGTTGCAAAAGTAAATATTCACATTTGCATTTGGGGCAGTTAGAATGTTAAACATTTGAATCTTGATTGCAGAGTGTTGGGCGGAACCTCATGAACGACCAAGTTGCGAGGAAATTCTGACCCGCTTGCTGGACTGTGATACCAGTTAGCTAATCATGACGCGCAGTTCATTGTATAGAGAAAAAAAAACACAATGCTGTTGAGTTTTTTTATCACGTGTTTCGGCTGCAAATTTTGAACTTGTGTGTGAATTTTTGATATGCTAACGTTCTTCTATTGTCGGTATGAAATGGAAAAAAATTTAATCGTTTTTTGTGCAATCAACACTTTAATTTTTCTGCTGAGTGTTGGTTCAGATCCAAGTTGCTGATATTGACCGCAAAAAATTCTCATATACTCGGAAAAAAACCAGGGAACGCGAATCTGAATTCATCATCTGGCTGCAGTAGAAGAAATCAGTCTGTATTATGTCCTAACACCAAATCCATTGCCATCTTTACTGCCATTAACATCCGTTCTGTATAAGAACGGTTCAGATCATACGAGTGAGCTCAAATGCACTCCCAGATTTGTACGACAACTTTATCTAATTAGGCTTCGTTTGGTTGTCCATATAAGATTAAATAATCTAATGAAACCCAATTGTGTAATTGGACTTAGAAGGTTCAATAAAAAAAACTCTATAAAAGGTAAAGATATATCATAATAACATAATATTTCGAGGTCGATTGTGAAAGTTATTGAGTATTATATCAAAGATCAAACAAAGTCCAATTATTTAGTTAATCATGCTAAATCTCCACGCCCTTAGTAAATTATTCAATGTATGAACATTATAAAATCTTTATTTCAATTCCAACAAAATGAAGGGAAAATTAGCTAATAGTTCCTAGTTGATGACAATAAATAGGTTAAGAACACGCTTTTATTTATACTAGAAAAATGACACGTGCACGTGTTTAAATAATTTTTATTTGCAGTCAATTATAAGATTATAAGTAATAGTGAATATTTGGATAAATATATGATTTAGTGGACTTTGATTAAATAAATACCATTCATTCTCTATTCTCGTTTTTTACTTAAGAAAATAAATTTCTTACTCTCATTTGGTTTCTTTGAATTCCTTTTTTGTTGTCATTATGCATTGTTTCACATTGTCATTATCTTCATAAAAAACATTTAACTTTTATATTTTTTTCGTTTTTTTCTTTTTGTACCTTGATCCAATAGCTAACTCAATTGGTAAAGGACATAGGTGACAAACTCCTATTTCCTGATCGTCGAAGCACATCCCGCAATTTATATACATTAAACTTTGAGGGGGTGAAGTGCAACTTATCCTATAGTTCCCGCGAAAAAATGTAATATACCATGATAACAAAAAAGTCCCAATTATTTATGATTTTGAAGTAAGTTGATTAAATATTTTAAAAGATGGATAATATTTATTCACCTTTATTTGATCGAAAGATGAATAATATTTATTAATCTTAATTTGGTAAGCTTTTGCGCTTACATTTTCAGTTTATTCGGGAGAAAAAGATGTTCTGGGAGAATAATTTGAAAATAAAATAAAGTTTGTTTGTGTTTTTAGAAGAGATAATTTGTACTGTAACAGTCATATCATGTCTAAAAGGTATTGGAAAAATAATTTAATTAAAAGATAAAGTGATTTTAGTTTGTATTTAGTGAAAATAATTTTCACTGTAGCAATCACATCATGTTTGTTAGAGAGAAACATTTGAATTTTTTTTTTGGGAAATTTTTGAAAATATTTTAGAAAGATAATTTTATTTTGAGGAAAAGAGGGAAAATAATTTGAAAATTGTAACAAAAATAGCCGGTGTGTTATCAATTAAAAAAAACGCGTTCAATAATAGACAAGAATCTAAAGGGAGAATCAAATACACTGTTTATTATTTTTAGGGTAAATTACAAACACCCCCTGAAATATGGTCAAATTACAAAAACACCCCTCTTGTTTGGATAATTACAACCACCCCCTCAACTCATCAAATTTAGTGGAATCTTCGAGATTATATGGAATATTATCACTTTTGTACCCGTTTTATCCCATTCAAACTCTACATTATGAAGCAAGATGATCATAATATGTGATTTTTAGTTTGTATATATCAGTTTGTGGTGCATCGGAAACTGTATTTTTTACACAAAAAGAGTACAAACTAGAGCACATTTCACGGAATTTAGATGACTGTGTTGAATTTGGCACCATTAAGGTGGAGGTCTAAAAAAAATCATAGTTGAGGGGGGTAGATGTAATTATCCAAACAAGAGGGGGGTTTTTGTAATTTGACCAATTTACCCTTATTTTTAATGAGGGACTTGATGAATATATAACGACTTTTTGTAAACGTAGAACATTTTATATTAAAAATTAAAATGTAAACCTCACCCAATCTTATTCTTTGAAAATATTCTCCACTAATCTTTTTAAGATATTATTTTGTCAAAATACCACCACAATATTACTATAAGGGTATTGAATTCTGAGTATAATATCGTTGAATGTGATGTAAATTTTTCACTTTCAGTAGTAAGGACCTGTTATTTTGGACCTGTTATTTTTCCATTTGTTTTTAACTGAATAAATATCATTGTCCCAGTTGACTATCGTTCTTCGCCGATGCAAATCGGACAAAGATGGTACGATGACACTGGTTAAAAAGAAATAGAAACTCAAGATCTAATTTCAAATCATCTTTTTTTACTTTTTTTTTTAAGCATAGGTGAAGGAAGATTAGTTAATAGGTGAAATATCCTATGTCCACTAAAACTTGTCAATATATATCATTTTAGTTTTTCAATAAAAAATATTAATTGTAGTCATAAGCAAATTTTAAATATTAGGCAAATTACAAGTCCCTTTTACGATGGTCTATTTCCTATCTAACAATTATCACTTGTACATTTGAAAAATACACTTACCCTCTAAATTTAATGGTGAACCTATTTGCCTACTAATGTCGTCAGTGGTAAAATAAAGTATATTTTTATCCTAAAATTCAAAAAAATACTTTCTTTATAAATTATCCTCAACACATGACACCTTTTTTTATGGCGGCGGTTATATGCAAGCCCATTTTTTTATTAGTTCAAGACCTCCAACATAAAAATACTAATTTATCCTTAATGAAATTTAAAATCAAATAAAAAACACAAAACATTAAAAAATAAAAATAAAATCATTTCCTTTGTGCAAAACCAAATAAAATACATAAATCCAAAAACCCTTCTTCCTTATTTCACGACTTAAAACTCTCCTTCTTCTTCTCCTTCTTCACAAACCCACCAAGAAATCTTACACACCAAAATTATCAAATACATACCAAACATTGACGATGGAACCGGAAAACAATGATATGGTGGTTTACGAGGGTGGAGAACACAATGAAATATGTTTTAACCGTTTATTTTTGCTTTTGGGTCGTTTTTTTTTTTGTTGGAAAAAAAATTCGACGATACCGAAAATCGGTCTGCAAATACCGATTTTTGTTAGTAAAGTCGGTAACCACATTCCGATTATTTTAATGAAAATCGGTAATTAAAAACCGATTTTTGTAGTAAAAATCGGCATGACAACACCGATTTGTTTTTGTATTATCGGTATTGTCATGTCGACTTGTACTACAAAAATCGGTTTTTAAATACCGATTTTATTATCTGTAATTTTTTAAGACCGTTTTCTCATACTTTCGTGCATCAACCTTGAGAATTGATGGAGGATTATTCAAATGAATTATCTAACGAATAAATATTTGATATACGGCAAGCTCTACTCGTTTGGGTTAAAGGAGTGGGAGACGCCACCGAATGGTGATAAACATTTTCGTTTCAAATATTTAAAAAATATCAATTAACCAAATATATAATGTATTATTTAAAAAAAATTCAAAAAATATCGGTATTCGAAAACCGATTTAGTACTCAATAATCGACATTAGAACGTCGATTTTGACTTGTAAAGTCGACGTTGTGTCGCCGATTTGGTTAACAAAAATCGGCATTATGACGCCGATTTTTGTGTACAAAATCGGTCTGGATAAACCGATTTGGGAAACCAGCGAAAAAAAATAAAAACAACCAATTTCAATCTCAATTTTTTTCCAAAATCGGCCAAATTATTGCAACCCAACAAGAAATAAGCATAGATTAATGTTCATAAATACATATTTATCAAGAATCGATGTTCGATTAATGTTTTCGAATTTACAAATAAAAATTTAGTAAAAAGGACATCGATGTTCGATTAATGTTTTCGAATTTACAAACAAAAGTTTAGTAAAATGGACTTACTTGTTGGTGGTGGTGCGGTGGGTGGGTCGCTGGTCATCGCCGGTGCGGTGGAAGTCTCGCTGGTTGACAGTCGTGATATTTCTTTTTTGTTTTTTTTTTTTTTTGGATTTTTGATCTTGAACAAATAAAAAATAAGATTTATTTGTATTTGAGTATTATTTGTGGATAAGGGTATATTTGTCATCTTTGGTCATGATGCAATAAAATTAAATTAATTTACGGGCTTGAACTAATAAACTCTTTTATGTGATTTTGAACTAATAAAAAAATGGACTTGCATATAACCAATGGCGGTACCATGAAGGGGCAGGGGGGGGGCAGTTGACCCCCCAAGAAAAAAAAAAATTTTTTTTTTTAGCTATTTTGACCTAATATTTTTTTAATATTACTTTTGGCCCCCCCAAAGATTTTGTAAATATGTTTTTTAACTCTTAATTTTTTGTTTATTATCCATAATTTCATATAAATTATAGATATATATCATATTATAGATATATGTCGTAATTTTTTTCGCAGTATAAACCTATTTTTTCAATGTCTTGTGAACCTAAAATTTTTTTCGGGGCGCTGCCCCGAACCCCGAAATTTTAGTTAGCCCCCCCTACTTTCTAATCCTGGTTCCGCCCCTGCATATAACCGCCGCCTTTTTTTATATCGAAAATTAATTTTTGTACGGTGCATAAATAAAGAAGTCGTACAAAATAATAGCAGTGACTTTCATGCCTAAGAGTGATTTTTTTTTTTTTTTTTTTTATTACATTAGATAAACATAAATGGAGATATATCTCTACATGTATGAGTAGGGGTAGAAATCGGAATGGGATTTCCGAGCCATTTTCGATCCGAAAATATTCGAATTTGGAACCGTATTTTTCATTTTGATTTCCAATTCTTCCGAATTTATACGGAATTGGAATGGTATATAAAATTACCGAAAATTTCGATTTCCGATCCGATTTTAGTTC